CCAAGAATCTAGTTTTCGGATTGTTCTCGCTGCAACGCGGCGTACATCATCTTGTCCGCTTGCAGAAGTCACACGGATGGATCGTGAAACGTAGGTCGTCATTGATTAGGGTCTGAGCACCGAGCACATTCGCCGTGTTTTTGTTCAAACAGTTGTGTGGACGGAGGGTGGTTCCTTCTGTAACGTGTTGGTATCGCCGTAGCCCCGCACACTTTCGTCGTGAAAGATGCCAGCAGTTACGCAGACGTAGGGCGAGTCGGTCTCAATGTATGGCTCACGCTTTAGTGCGGTACAGCTTGTAGTGACATCACGGAATGCGCGGATGGAGGTGGGGTCGGTTTCATAATGTACGTTTCGTTTGGTGTCTCCTACATCTGTCGTAACACGCATTGCTTGATATTCAGCGGATGCATGTGATATTATGTTGAACCATCGGGTTTGATTTGACATGCCCTCGAGACGTGTGACGGCCATGCTGCGAGTTGTCCAAATGTTTACCCGGATGAGGCGGACCTTTTTCAAGATGAGGGTATCGACACATTTCTCATACATATTATTGCCAGAGAATTGCAATCGCGGAGCACTTGTACCAGTGTTCGAGCTGTTCCTTTTTGACATATGGTTGTCGTTCCACATGCTTGCGCTTTGCTTGCACTTGGTTCTTTCAGCTAAAAAGGCACTGAGCGACTTCCTTTCACAAGGGGTGCCGCCCGTGTGGAGATTGTGTTCCCCGTAGCGTTTGTAGGGACACATTACGAGGGGACTTGTGGCGGGAGGGAGTGTTGCAGCATCTGGGAATCCTGGGAACCATGGGTTGATCCTGGTCGCCCTCAACCTTCACTCCTGCAGTGCCTCCGCCGTGCCTCTTTCTTGCCGAGCCCCGAAGGTGGCTCCGGGGATGAGCGCGACGACCACCAGGCCGAGAGGGAGGGGCGGATGAGGGGCAGGAGCGATGTTGGTCCTCCTCCTCCTCCTCCCCCTCCTCCTCCGCCTCCTCCTGGGGTGCAGATGGCAGCCGTACCCTCGGCAGCAAGTCGGACTCTGACGGGCATTCTACAGGACGGTCAGAGTTTGAACATATTGTTTCCGCTTCTGGAGGCTTCCAGAGACCCGAACATTCCAACAACAAGCCGTTCGCACCGAAGCATCCACGAGCATTCCCTTTAGATCCTCGCGAGTCGGGGCCAAAGCCTGGCATGCTTTGGTAATCAGTCTTGCTGAGAAAAACACCAAACGAACGCATAGCTATTGGGCCTCCTTTCGGCCACTCTTTCGCCAAAGGCGGAGGGGTCTCGGCGCCCGGACAAAAATTAGCCTGGCGAAGAACCCAACCATATGCAGTTGTCAGTACCGCAGCTGCGGGTTTCATCTTCAAAGGAACTCCCCATCGGACCACGGAACGTGTGAGGGGTGTGCCGAGATGGGTGCCACTGGGGCATTCGGTGAAGCTCCCTATGGGGACATGAAACACGCGCGGGGCGTGCCGACATGGGTGGCGGAAGCGCAAGTGAGGGCCGCCGCTGGGGCCTCCAGTGGAGCTCCCTATGGGTACCCGAAACATGATGCTGCTGCGGGGGGGGTGCCGGGATGGGTGGCGGAGACGCATGTGAGCGCCGCTACTGGGGCCTTCGGTGGAGCTCCCTATGGAGCCACGAAGCGCGTGAGGGGTGTACTGGCATGCGTGGCGGGGACGCATGTGAGCGCCGCCACTGGGGCCTTCGGTGCAGCTCCCTACGGGGCCACGAAACGTGTGAGGGGTGTGCCGAATTGGGTGCGGGTGGTGACGCATGCGGGCGGTGCCACTGGGGCCCTCGGTGGAGCTCCCTATGGGGCCAAGAAGCTGTGTTGTGAGGGGCGTGACGGGATGGGTGGCGGGGCCGCATGTGAGCGAGGCCACTGGGGCCTTCGGTGGAGCCCCTATGGGGCCACGAAACGTGTGAGGGGTGTGCCGAAATGGGTGGTGGGGAGGCATGCTAACGCAGCCACTGGGGTCTTCGGTGGAGCTCCCTATGGGGCCACGAAACGTGTGAGGGGTGTGCCGAAATGGGTGTGCGGGACGCATGCGGACGGCAGCGCTGGGGCCTTCGGTGGAGCTCCCGATGGGGCCACGAAACGTGTGAAGGGTGTGCCGAAATGGGTGCGCGGGGCGCATGCGGACGGCAGCGCTGGGGCCTTCGGTGGAGCTCCCTATGGGGCCACGAAGCGTGTGAGGGGAGTGCCGAAATGGGTGTGCGGGACGCATGCGGACGGCAGCGCTGGGGCCTTCGGTGGAGCTCCCTGTGGGGCCACGAAACGTGTGAGAGGTGGGCCGACTTGGGGTGTGCGGACGCATGCGGGCGCAGCACTGGGGCCCTTTCTTCTTCGGCGGAGCTCCCTTATGGGCCACGAAAGTGGTGGGGGGTGCGAAATGGGTGGCGTGACGCATGCGGGCGGCAGCAATAGGGCCTTCGGTGGAGCTCCCTATGGGGCCACGAAACGTGTGGGGGGTGTTCCGAATTGGGTGTGCAGGACGCATGCGGGCGGCAGCACTGGGGCCTTCGGTGGAGCTCCCTATGGAGCCACGAAGCGTGTGAGGGGTGTGCCGAATTGGGTGTGCGGGACGCATGCGGGCGGCAGTACTGGGGCCTTCGGTGGAGCGCCCGATGGGGCCACGAAGCGTGTGAGGGGTGTGCCGAATTGGGTGTGCGGGACGCATGCGGGCGGCAGCACTGGGGCCTTCGGTGGGGCTCCCTATGGGGCCACGAAACGTGTGAGGGGTGTGCCGAATTGGGTGTGGGTGACGCATGCGGGCGGCAGCACTGGGGCCTTCGGTGGGGCTCCCTATGGGGCCACGAAGCGTGTGAGGGGTGTGCCGAATTGGGTGTGCGTGACGCTTGCGGGCGGCAGCACTGGGGCTTCGGTGGAGCTCCCTATGGGGCCACGAAACGTGTGAGGGGTGTGCCGAATTGGGTGTGCGTGACGCATGCGGGCGGCAGCGCTGGGGCCTTCGGTGGAGCTCCCTGTGGGGCCATGAAACGTGTGAGGGGTGTGCCGGATTGGGTGTGCGTGACGCATGCGACCGGCAGCATTGGAGCCTTCGGTTGAGCTCCCTATGGGGCCACGAAACGTGAGGGGTGTGCCGAATTGGGTGTGCGTGACGCATGCGGGCGGCAGCATTGGGGCCTTCGGCGGAGCTTCCTATGGGGCCACGAAACGTGTGCGGGGTGTGCCGAATTGGGTGTGCGTGACGCATGCGGGCGGCAGCACTGGGGCCTTCGGTGGAAGCACCCTGCCTGCGCTCGCCACAGCCGCGCGGCCGCCAGCGCGCGTGGGCGGTGCAGAACAGCGCACCCCCGCGCGCGGCAAGGACGCCAGATCCCCGCCTGCGCGGGCACGCAATGGAGGAGGGCGTCGACGACCGAAAGCAGCCCGCGTGCGCGAAAACACGACTGCCCCGACTTAGCCCGAATCGCCATGGAGCTCCAAACGCTCGCATTTGAGGTGTGCGGGGTCGTGGGCGGAAAAGCGACAGGCGCCGGAAAGGGGGGAAACAAGAGGAACGCGACAGCTGAACAGGGGAATATGGCATTAAACGGCACAGAGACAAACAAAGACACATCCGTGGAAAGAATGTGCCAGAGAGCCCATGAAAGATGAGGACGCACAGTGGCGCGGAACAGACATGCAAACCGAGTGCGAACCTGGTGGAGGGGGGCGCGACGAGGAATGCAAAAGAAACGCGCAAGAGGATTCGGAAGGGGGCAGGCGGCGAAGGGGCGGGGGAATTTGGGGAGAGGGCGCCCGAGGAGGAGGCGACGACCCAGACGAGGGAGCGGAACGCGATTTGGACAACGCGAAGCAAGAACGAAAACAAACGATGACAGGGAGGAAGCGGAGAAAAAGGAGGGAGGGCGACGACGAGGACGAGGCACACGTAGAGGAGCAAGACAGAAAACGCAGTGCCATTGGGCAAGGGGGAGAGGAGGGGCCAACCGGACATGCAATGAGGGGAGAAACGGTCGCGAGCCCCCTGTCGGCGTCCGCCTTCGGACCCGCGCAGCCGCGGACCCCGTCCCGCAGGAGCCAGTTGATTTTCGCGCTCGGGCTTGGGCGCCACGGGGGGACCCCCCCAGAAACTCTTCGGAAGGCTTTGACGGGCTCCTGCAGAGGCTCCCGATGCCACCTCCCAGGCTCCTCAGGAGCTCATGAGAGGCCCTCTGGGGAGCTTGCGGAGCGTTGATGGCGCTTCTCTGCATGAGGCCCACTTCCTGACAAGGATTTCTGAGAGTCTCTTGGGATAGGGTCATGTACTTAACACACAAAAACACACACTGTGGTGAAACAGCGCACACAAAAAACAATTATCCTGGCGAAGGACCCAACCATATGCAGTTGTGAATATCGCATTGCGGGTGCCGCTTTCGGTGGAGCTCCCTGTGGGGCCACGAAACGCTGTGCTGGGTGGGGGTGACGCATGCGGGCGGCACCACTGGGGCCTTCGGTGGAATTCCCTGTGGGGCCACGAAAACGCTGTACTGGGCGGGGGTGACGCATGCGGGCGGCACCACTGGGGCCGTCGGTGGAGCTCCCTGTGGGGCCACGAAACGCTGTGCTGGGTGGGGGTGGCGCATGCGGGCGGCACCACTGGGGCCTTCGGTGGAGCTCCCTGTGGGGCCACGAAACGCTGTGCTGGGTGGGGGTGGCGCATGCGGGCGGCACCACTGGGGCCTTCGGTGGAGCTCCCTGTGGGGCCACGAAATGCTGTGCTGGGGTGGGGGTGACGCATGCGGGCGGCACCACTGGGGCCTTCGGTGGAGGTCCCTGTGGGGCCACGAAACGTTGTGTTTGGTGGAGGTGCCGAAATGGGTGTGCGGGACGCATGCGAGCGGTGGCACTGGGGCCTTCGGTGGAGCTCCCTATGGGGCCACGAAACGTGTGAGGGGTGTGCCGAAATGGATGTGGCTAACGCATGCGGGCTGGGGCCACGAAACGTGTGAGGGGTGTGCCGAATTGGATGTTGCTGACGCATGCGGGCGGCGGCACTGCGGCCTTCGGTGGAGCTCCCTACGGGGCCACGAAAGCGTGTGAGGGGTGTGCCGAATTGGGTGTGCGGGACGCATGCGGGCGGCAGCACTGGGGCCTTCGGTGGAGCTCCCTATGGGGCCACGAAACGTGTGAGGGGTGTGCCGAATTGGGTGTGGCTGACGCATGCGGGCGGCAGGACTGGGGCCTTTGGTGGAGCTCCCTATGGGGCCACGAAACGTGTGAGGGGTGTGCCGAACTGGGTGTGGCTGACGCATGCGGGCGGCAGCACTGGGGCCTTCGGTGGAGCTCCCTATGGGGCCACGAAACGTGTGAGGGGTGTGCCGAATTGGGTGTGGCTGACGCATGCGGGCGGCGGCACTGGGGCCTTCGGTGGAGCTCCCTATGGGGCCACGAAACGTGTGAGGGGTGTGTCGAACTGGGTGTGGCTGACGCATGCGGCGGCAGCACTGGGGCCTTCGGTGGAGCTCCCTATGGGGCCACGAAGCGTGTGAGGGGTGTGCCGAATGGGTGTGGCTGACGCATGCGGGCGGCGGCACTGGGGCCTTCGGTGGAGCTCCCTATGGGGCCACGAAACGTGTGAGGGTGTGCCGAATGGGTGTGGCTGACGCATGCGGGCGGCAGCACTGGGGCCTTCGGTGGAGCTCCCTATGGGGCCACGAAGCGTGTGAGGGGTGTGCCGAATTGGGTGTGGTGACGCATGCGGGCGGCAGCACTGGGGCCTTCGGTGGAGCTCCCTATGGGGCCACGAAACGTGTGAGGGGTGTGCCGAATTGGGTGTGGCTGACGCATGCGGGCGGCAGCACTGGGGCCTTCGGTGGAGCTCCCTATGGGGCCACGAAACGTGTGAGGGGTGTGCCGAGGTGTGGCTGACGCATGCGGGCGGCGCACTGGGG